GCCCAGGACTCTCTAATATGACTTTATCGCCAGCCAATGGCAGATAACCATGAACCCGACCAGGGTCGCGATGGCGTTCGGCTTTATTTGCGCTAGCGATATCCCCAGAGCCGTAAAGACTTGCTGAAGGAAGGAATGCAAGGGTAACCGCAGGCCGAACTCCAAGTGCTTCAAGTACAGTAGAGCCCGATCTGGTCCGTGGTCATAAACTGTCTCCGACCTTGTCGGTGCCATCAGCTCATATTCTCGGGGGATGTTGAATCTCCCGTGGAGCATCCTCATCTGCATTTAGGTCACTTTGGAGTGGAACTCCGCCAGCAAAAGCATGTCTATCCACAGGATCCAATGCTATTGTAGATGGGGGAGTAATCGCCGGAGAAGATGGACAGAAAGGATCTCAAAGTTCTCAAAAGGAGATTTCAAAGAGCAATAACCATCATTCCCCTAGCCCCAGCTTTATATATCGACAGCCGAATCTGCAGCTGTCGGAATCTAAACGGCCGAATCAGAATTTGGCCAATAGTCAAGATTAATTCCCAAAATCCAAAGCGGCGTCTCCGGGATCAAGACGCAGCCCACCAACCTCGAATAACCCGCAACCCGGCATGAAAAGCGGAGCTGCGGTAGTTAAAAAAGAACGTGTGGTGATGTCAGTCACGTTAAATCTGAAAAGACTTTTTAGTTCCCCCATCTAATGCACATCTGTATCCGTCCAAAGTTGTTCTCATTTCACTCAGACCCGGCGCAGGCCAACTCTAAGTGAAAGGGGCCAACTGTTATGGTGTTTTCAGTCGCCAAATTATGGCCCCTTGCCAACAACAGGCTAATATTCCCCGTCACGCACCGTTCAGTCAACTCGACACTTAGGATAGCTAGGATCGACCTAGTCGACTCGCCGAATCGAAATCTCGCTAAGTCGACTCGAATGGCGATACTTATCGGTCCTCTCATCAAAGGCGACTCTCTACGAATCCACTCAAGCGGTTAATTAGCTTGCATCTCACTGAGTCGACTCGAAAAGCGTTACTTCTCGGCACCCCTTAATACAAGCCAAAAGGCAACTTCGACCTCGAACCCCCCCCCCCTTTCCCCACTGACAGCGCGTCGAAATCACATTAAATGCTTGGCAGACGCCATCACCCCCCCCCCCTTTCCCCACTGACAGCGCGTCGAAATCACATTAAATGCTTGGCAGACGCCATCATTTCTCCATCCCCGGCACTATTTATGACACATCGGACCACACCGGCTTCGTGCGCCGCCTATCTCATCTCATTAATGTTGAAGTGACAACACCCATTCCGTGACCGTTCTACGACTGACACTTGTAAAGTCGACACTGACTCAGCCGTCAGCTCAGACTCGAGCGAAAAAGACTAGAATACCCCTCTTGCATGGCTATAAAATGAGAAATTATTTCAAATGCGAAGGTAAGCAATTTTCTCAGAAGTTTGCCCCACTAGAGAAGTCGCGCAGTTCATTATTTTCCCACTCGATGGCATCATTAACTTGATCGTCGGAGGGACAACAGAGGAACTAGTCCACGTTCTCTTACGAGTTGTTAAATGTGCAGGGAAAAAGCAGCCCAACTCAAGATCAGATATTCAAAGAAGTCAGCGACCCCCTACTCAATCTCACCCCCACTATATTTGTGTGATTATTAACAACAATATTATATTTTAATAATGTGCCACATCATCAATTATCTCAAATGAATTATCAAATCAAAGTTTTAAATTGTTCCATTATCCCAACTTGTCCTAGTTTACCACCACTCAAATAGCGCAAAGAGATAAATTGTTCCATTCGAACAATTATTCACTTCAACCCAACTTGTCCTAACCAATAACCCTCCCTAGAGACAATCATGCCAACTTTTTCAAAATTTAAAAGAGAGGGTACATTGCCTTAAATGAGAAACGATAAATATTCATGAATATTTACAAACATTTCATAAAGTATCATTTTTGGTTAAATAAATAAATCACACAATTCTATAAATATTCACGAATATTTACAAAATATTTACATTCAAATCTAAATTGAAGGAAATTTAGAGAATGATATTAGAATTTCTTTTTGAATTCACAAATTTGACAATTTTCAATAAATACGAATACACACTCCAAGGTATTGGATTCAATTCGTTTCGATCATACTTGTGACCATATAGCACTGGACTTTTGCACAACAGAACTAATGAAATTAAGAAGTAAAAGCAAGACCGGGCGTACACAATAAAACACAAGAAGGAAAAAAGAATGCAGAGCTAAAAAAACACCTTGATTTTACCACTAACGTTTGATTATTTAAATGTCCAAAAGATTGATCAATATGAATTTCACCATTTCGATTTAATCTTCACCTTTAGAAATAATAACAAACTCTAGCTACAAAGATAGCACGTCTCATGTGGTGGATAAAGAAACAGCTTCTAGAAAGCTTGAACAATTAAAGAGAACGGAAAAAGAAAATAGTATGTTAAGACAAATCCACAGCATGGAGAAAAATCCTACCCTTAAATAGACACATCTCTCGCATCAGATACCAACTTAAAGCCTGAGTATAAGAAGAACACGACAAAATGAGGAGGAATTCATTTAGATACAGGAAATAACATAAAAATTATTTCACTGAATCTAGACACACAAACTTCTCTGAAACTAGAAACCAAAATAAACTAACATCATCAGCAAAATTAAAGACTAGCACAAGTTTATAATGCAAACCCTAAAACCCCCTCTATTTCCCACCAAGAGTAGGGAATTGCCCAGGGTCTTCAATTGCCGGTGCTGGAGTATAGCCTCCACCACCACCAAAGCCGCCTCTGCCACCACGATCACCTCTTCCTCTGCCACGGCCACGGCCTCCAGAGTTGTATCTTTCTCCTTCGGCTGGTTTTAGAAACTCATTGATGCTCAAAGACTGGAAAACACAATAGCAATGTAAGAAAACAAGTAATCGACGCCATGGAATTGTGTTTAACAAGTAAAGCTCTGCAGTCAAATTTTCGTTTCCAGTGTTTGATTAGCAACAACATGGTTAGAAATGGGAATCGCATTCGACAACATTTGTTGCATTCAATTTGGAAATGGAAATCCAATAAACTTCGCAACTGAGCAAGTATTGGATTTGCATTTAGTTCTACAACATACCCATATGACATGGTTGAGTTATTATTTCCTGTACCAATGCATGCAGAATTTGCCACATCTACAATTGCAGCACACCAAACAGCCCTTATATGTAAGTCTACTGCAGAAAAGTACTTACCTTCTTCGCTCGTTCTTCACGTTCAGTTTCTTTCTTTTTTGATTCCTTATCTGAACCCTATCATCAAAAATAGTTTTGTAAGATATTTGACACTAGCAAAATTATGCACCACCATATACACGAATTTATTGCATGCTTACCAGTTTAATGAAGATTTCATCAGTCCCTTTCTTCAGAGAAAGTTGCTTCATTGATTCCAACTCCTTGTCAATGGTAACTTTCCTCTCTTCAGCCTTCATTGCAAGAAGAGATTTCCTTTTCTCCTCCTTAACTTTCTCATACTCATCAAGTGTCATCTCCTGCAAAATTCCACATTTGGGACAGCAACAATGTTTAGATAATTTAAAAAATTCTAACGAGCAAAACAACTTAAATCAAAAGAATTGCGTCCACAAACTTGAAACTCGCTTTAAGTGAATGTAGGTCACAGTCCAGTTGAGGTCAGGTCAGCTTACTTTTCGTATAATATGAAATTTTTCATTATTCTCAAGTACACGAAACAAAATAAAAATAGATGAGCTTTTGACCAAGATTTTCAAGCTGTTGGTAGGTATGAAACAAGCATGGGTATTCATCAGAATATTTTTTTTAAGAGCATTAGCTGCTTGACACAGTAGAATGTATATCAGAGAAACAAACTTAATAATGAAAATGGAAATGTACATTAGAGCTAAGTACATACCATGAAAATCCTTTCCGTTACACATCAAAGCTCTAGAGTTATGGTGTAAGTTGTGGGTTATAATTCAACTATGCAAGAATCTTTGGACTCCCAGCACATTGGTGATTCCACAGAAATAAATAAGACAATGTGAAATTGATTGCTAAAAAACCAAACTGTTCACACATAAACTCCCAAACAAAATAATGACATGCCAAATAAAGGGGGCGGGGGGGGCGGTGGCTGCTTAAAGATGACTTTCCCTTTGACCTATCTTGCAATCAGCAAATAAATCTGCTTAAATGCAAATGTAAAGATAGAGCCCAAGGATGAAATTATTGTATGCCCGCAATGGAACAAGGCAGCATCCAATAAGCAAAGACACCCCCGCCAACAATAACCTCCCTAAAATGGCCAGAGTCCCAACTACCATGTATACGCTAACCAACAGGGGAAAGAAAACCTTTAAGAAAAAAAAAATTCAGATACTTCCATATGTTTTCTAACTGAAATAAACTAATCCAAGAGAACATGTACATCAATACAAAAAGAAAACATTCCACTTCTTCTAACTAACCCTATGTTGAAACGACAAGGAAACATTCCTCCTCCATTGTAAAGATCATTTACATAGATGATATTGCTTAAGTTTATGATGTAGGATCACATTCTCGCACAATTTTTTTATTATTAGAACGGTGCGAAACTACCCCCGCATTTCATTAACAAGAGTTTTAACGAAACAACCCAGAATTCTTGCACAAAACTATTAGAAGGAAATATGGTAAACGGATGTCATTATCACTGTCACAACAAAATAACAAGCACGCAGGCATGGCAACAAAATACAAATGAACATTTTAAAAAATCTGTCCGATTTTACCCCCAACGTTTTCATTGTGGGGAAAACTTTGGTCGTAGTGATCCAGTTTACACTCCAATCATAGTTAAAACATCATGAGGCCAGGGTTATAAGACAGATATAACAATAAGCACTGATACTATGCATAAATGAACATGCGGAAATGAAAGGACAAGGGATATGATAGCTGTTATTGTGACTGTAAGTCACCTAAAAAAAGATGACTGGATAAAGAATTCGAGTGATAGACACAAGTTGAGAATAGATGCAATGTCTTACAGTAGAAAATGCAATACATTCAAGCCAATAGTAACATATACATGTTGTCCTGACATCTGCAGTACCAATGTTATAGAAGGCGCTAAGCGCCTTGGCGGCACCTAGGCGTTTGCCTTTTTTTTAATTTATTTAATTATAATGTTTCAATAAAATATGCGTTTAAGTTCATATAAAATTGCAAAAAAAAAAACATAAATAACAAACTTAGATCCATAATCAATGGTGCATAAATACTAAATAGCCAAAATAGTAACCAAATACTAAGAAAAAACAAAGTGAGGCGTGAGTTTCTCTTGGTATGAATCACATGAAGGAGAGAGCAATTGAGAGCACGTGATCCGGTGTCGGAGTTTTCGCCATTTGGTGTTTGGCGGGTTTGGATTTATTTTAAATCCAGATCAACGATCCAGATTGATTTGTTAACCGATCAAGGGTTTGGAGGTGGATTTTGGTGATCTAAGAGTCATTCCTTGGGACGTGCCGAGTTCGTTTTTAATGTCAGATCTACCAAATTCAACTTCTATAGTGACTTATTTGAATTTGGTTGTGATTAGAGGATGATATCTTTGGGTCAAAAGTTCGATATTCCCCTATTCAGTAGCAAAATAAATTTTACAATGTGGCAGTTTACAGTTCAACATCTTCTTGTCCAACAGGGTGTTGATCAAGCTTGGAGGAGAAAAAGGCTGAAGGGGTGAAGGATGGTAGAGTTTCAAGTCAACACAATTCGTTTGGCACTCGCCTCCAAGATCAAGTACAACATTATGCAGGAAACCACGCCAAGAGGCTTGTGGGATTAGCTCGAGGGGATTTATGCGTCGAAGTCTATGACCAACCGATTTTATTTGAGGATGGAGCTTTATTCATTGAAGATGAAAGACAAGACCACATCAATGCCTTCAATCACTTTAATCAGCTAGTTGTCAACTTATGAATATCAATGAAAAATATAAAAAAGAAGAGCAAGCCTTACTCTATTGTCTATCTTACTGAAGTCGTACAAGCCGTTAGTTTAGACAATAATTGCAGGGAAGCAAACTTTAATATCTGATAATGTGATAGTACTCCTGTAAGCAAGGTTTTAAATATCGGATATCGGGGAAATATCGGATGACCAAAATTCAAATCGGATTGCGGATATCGGGGAAATATCGGGGATATGTGGTAAATATCGGAATGCCATAATGAATGTTTGCATACATAGTATAATGCATTAAAAGATAATCTCAACATATGTAATAAAATTTAAGCATACAAAATACGAATAATATATGTTTAGGATCACTAATCAACCTTCTAAAACAAACAAAAATACAAATCAACGTTGTAACATTCGATCTGCTTTTTTAGGACAAAATGTCATTTGATATAATGGAAAAATCTTGATATCTTGCCCAAAAATTCCAAACACGATATATTATTTTACAACAAACTATATAAAAAGATATATTGGTCCACATATCGGCTAATATATCGGCCATATTGGGGATTTATCACTCAAAATAGTCAAAAAGCGGTAAAAGACATTTAAAGATCATATCGGTTGCGGCAAGCCCTGTAAAAGGATATATCGGGTCATGTCGGGGATATTTAAAACAATGCCTATAAGAGAATGAAAGAATGATGGGGAAAAAATGCATCTAGTAGTGGTGAGAGTACACAAGCTTTTGAAGGTTCTAATGGAGGGAGAAGTACGAGAGATGTGATAGTTATTGAGGAAGGTCAAAATCTTGGGTCCAAGACATCAGCAAAAGGGAGTGCTACTATTACGAAGAGAATGATGACATTCAGTTCAGATGTTCCTAGATGCGAGATCATTTGAAGATCATTAGGCAGATGAAGCTTCAAGTAAACGGGAAGGACTCCTCGACAATTGTGAGTGATGAAGATGTGTTGATAACGGAGAGTAATCGCACTAATGCAAATAACCCTCGGATGTTAGATTCTACGGCCTCCATGCACGTTTACAACAACAAAGAGTATTTTGACACAGAAGATAGAAAGAATTTGGTGACGTGATTGTTAGAAATAACAAGAAGATGAAGGTTAGAAGGCGTTGAGAGTATTCGCCTCAACCTTCACATTGGGAAGGTCGACTCGAAATTCTTCGTCATGTGAGATATGTGCCGTCATGTTGTGCTAATTTAATTTTGTTGGGTGAGATGGTATCCCGTGGGTACAAGAATATAGGTGAAGGAGAGTGGTGCAAAGTGTATAGAGATGATTTAATTTTGTGAGGGAGAAAGAATAGCAATCATATTTGCTATTTAGATGAGCGTTTTGTTAATAGTGTAGGTGACTCTTCTGAGACCCTTGTCCACAAGGGAGAGGTGAAGAACAAGAAGAGAGTGAGTTTTTCTAAAGCCGTTGAGATATGTGCATATTTCTCGTCGAGGGAGGATATGTTTGGTGCCGACTCAAACTCCAAGTTGGATCCTAATTTGAAGGTTAGGATTAATTCTAGTAGTTTAGTTTTCTTATAGACTAAGTTGACTTGGTGGACAAGTCATGAGTGTCTTTAAATAAAGCATCGTATTCTAGAGTTTTTAGTAGAGAGAATGAGAGACAATATTCTTATAATCGGGGTTTAACAAAGAGTGTAATCGAGTTCAAGGGTATTATGAGAGGGTTTCGCAGTTTTCGTCTGTGCAAAAGATTGTAATTTGGTGGCGATAGAGGATTGTTTTCAATCCCGTGCTTATTTTCCAGTTGAAGGTTTTTTATATAAAATCTGGTGTGATTATATTTGTTGCGTTCGGTAATTTTTGAGATTTTTGCAAGATCTAAAAATCCCAACAATTATATCTCATGAGTTTCAGCCATGTCCCCGCATCCTACATTTTACAAATTTTCCAAGTCCCATAACCTTACCCACACCCATACTTGTGCAACTTATAGCTCGTAACCATTATCAAACTAATCATAATCCAGACTCTAGAAAACTTCAAAGAACACTTTCAGAGCTGAATTCAGGAAGTGAGTTAAGAAAGCAATCCCTAGTGTAAATACAGTTAAGGAAGGAGAAGAAAAAACAATGCGCAATATTGCACTTGCCAAAGAGACACCTACCTAAGGGCGGACAATGAACAGAAACAGCTCAGCTATTCTCGTAAACATTGTTAACATCAAGATTTAGGTTTGCCTATTTATTCCATACATTTATGTTCAAAGGAATGACATCTATTGTCCTGCATAACGATACTGGACTCTTACTATAAAAGCAGCAGCTTTTCTTTATTTCTAATTCTTAGTTGTTCAAATTGAAGAAAGTGAAGAAATAAATGCATATTACTACCATTCGCCAGATATTTCTGTCCTACGAGTAGAAGAACAAGAAAGGAGACCTTTCTAATTCTTCACTATACTACAACAGCAAGCATCAGGCTTTTCTCATAGCAAATTTTTGATGTTTAAACGATAGCACTTTTTTATTCAGCCCAGACAGAGAATCTTCATGAACAATTGGCAAGAACAGCATGCAGATGCAGTTAAAAGTCCTTGATATGACAAACATATTCCGATCACAATAAAAATATTTTTCCCTAAAACAACTCTTAAAACAAGCATTCAACAATAAAGAATAACAATAGAAAAGATCTTGCAATAAGAACTAACCTTATCCTCAGGTTTAGCTTCTTCTTCAGTAGTTGTATTTTCCTTATTATCTTTATTGCCCTCCACAGGTTTGCCATCTTCCTGCTCCGGCTGGTTCTCAGCAGTTGCAATAATTTCATCAGCATTCACATTCTCCTCAAGTTCTCTGTTGTTTTACAAAGCAATCAAACATAGCAACTGAAAACCTAGAAATAAAAAGTCAATAAAAATGTAAGATCTTAACTGTGCAACAACATCAGTCACTGTTCCCCAGTTTCCTCTTCCAGCTCCCTCCCGCTTTATCTCGTAACCACGACCAGTTCCACTCCTGCGCTCATAAACTCTCCTAGGAGGACGCTCAGAATCACCAGCTTCTTCGTCACCATTTCCATAACCCCCTCGGCGTCCACCTCGGAATGATTCCCGTGGAGGACCATGTCCTCCACGATTCCTTCCTGAAATATTACCACCCTCTCCTTCCTCAGCAATACCACCACCATAATTTCTGCCACCACCATAGCCTCCAGTGAAGCCATTCTCATTCCCATTTCCAAAATCTCGATTTGGGCCAACCCCAGCTCCTCTCCCTCCTCGTCCTCGTCCAGGACCACCTCTCCCAGCATCGCCACCACGTGACAGTGTGCTAGTGGGATTCCTAGCCTCCCTCACTGCATCCAAGAAAAAACAATCAAATTACATGTAAAAAAAATTCCTAACTATTTTACTTTATGCAAATTAAAAACAGCCAAATGTGCTCCATGCCAGATGTTTCTTGATAAAAATATTATGCACTATGCACCCCACGGCCCAAGAGAATTGGCTTCTGGAATTATGGCATAGTCAAAATTCTGTTACAAATCCCCAAATTTTCAATATTCTTTTTTTAAGAAGGGGGATAGGATGCTTATTCATTCTATGTTCTTGTGAAAATTCATTGTTTGTTTCCTAATAAAATGATGAGAGATTGATTTATGAGCCTCAATAATGTGATGATCAAACTTTGAAATGCTAAACACACTGCAGCATTTTGCACAACTCCTTCACCCAAGTGAATGACAAAAGGTAAAGATCATCACCTCAGTTTTGCCTTGAAAGTGATAATAATTTAAGAAGATTCACCTTGTCATTCTAATAGTAACTAAAATTATGATTAGACCAAATATTCATATTTTGCCTTCACTTTAGCCTTGAAATTGATAATAATTTTAGAAGACTCACCTTCCCTTGGCCTTGTTATTCCATATTTTCACTAATAAATTATGACTAGACCAAAGATTCAAAACGAATCTCTTTGAAATTCAGCAAACCTCTGTTTTAGGTGAAATTTTGCCAAGAAAAGGTATGAAATTTTAAGATCATGCTTTTCTCTTTTCTAGCATGTGACCCAATCATCGACATCAATAAAAAACTGTTGGGAAAAATATGGCCCAACCTGCATTTAATGTGCCCAAAATAGATGTTGCCAACCAAATAAACCCAATAGCTCAAGCTATTAAGATTCGACTCCAACTTTCTATTTAAGTCCATCACTCTTCTTAACTTTTCAAAGAGGGAATACACTTGCATGAAATTATCAATAATCAGGCCCTTAATTTGTGAGCAAAGCTTAACCCTTACTGACTTAATCTGAACCAACGACCACAAAGAGGAAGCATGGCTACTTAATTCTCCACCACCCGTGGGTCAACCAGACCTTAGTCACTCAAGTGAACAATCTCGAGAGTCATCCATCATTTGTGGGCTAATCTGGCTTTGGTGTAAACCAACAAATCACAACATTACTATCAACATTTGTAGGATTTTCAACTACTTGTGGGCTAAATAGAACTTAATCTATCTCTCTTGATCTAAACCAACAACCATGGATCAATGGCATGCCAACCATCAATCTTTGAAACCACTTGTTGGAAAGCCATATGGCCCAGCATGAAATGAATAGGCTTTAAATAGAGGTTAAGAACCAAGGTAATGTAAAGGTCTAAGCTATTTGGAATTGGCCCCAAATTCCAATGCGGCACTACTTTAGCATAGAATTTTCAAACAAAAAATCCACCCTGCATTACAAAGAGATTGATAGTGATCTAATCACAATTTCTTAGAGAAACATGTACAAGGTGATTGATAGTGATCTAATCATAATTTCTTGGAGAAACATGAAAGAAGGAAACATTTAAAGATAATGTTAATTGTTAAAAGTATTAAGTTTTTGACACTACTTCAAAACTATTATTAGAATGACAAAATTATCTTGACTTCATCACCATCTTCAACACGAAATGGAAGGACTCCCACATTGTTATGCACTTGAGTATAACAATACTACAAAATAATATAATAGCATTTCTAATGTTCAACCATCAAATTTGTAAGATCCGCAAATTAATTCTAACTTTCTCACTTTTTTAGAAAGTAACAACATGCTTTCACAAAACCTAAAAAACAAAAATTTTATTATTGATTTCCTAACACGAAACAAAAAATGAGATCTTGAAATTTTCGGAATTTCCTGGAATTGTGACATAGAAAATTTGAGTGCATTCCTCACTTTTTAAAACTAAGTATTCCTCCCAATTTGAAAAATCAAACTCTTTTAGGCCTCAAAAGAGCTAACCCTTCATGAAAGTCCTTGTCCCCACATGCATTAATTTGTATTTTTAGAATGGTTTTGCTAACCTTTGCCCTAAGGGAAAAGGTTATCAAAGAGATTGAAAGAGAGTGATGAGGTAAGCAAGGCCCTGTGTTCCCCACTAACTCTCTCTTCTCGCTCATTTCTCTCTTTCCTCTCCTCTTTAACCATTGCCCTTAGTAGTGGTTATCAACTCAGCAAGCCCCTTTGTAAAAGTCCAATCCATAAACTACACATGTTTTGTTATATAGCATTTATCGCTTTAGTTTCTTTACTGCATGTTGAGTAAAACAATAAATGCAAACAAAACGTCGGTACTTTAAGAATTTAAAAGAGGTGGGTTTCCCATGGACATCTAAGAAACCCATGGAAATCAAAAAGGTCCTGACTCCTGAATGTAAAACTGAAATAAAGAAACACGAGAGAAGCGCTGTTTCTCTCTTTTGCTTTCTTCGCATAAGAGCTTCAACACAATATGCCATTAATTTAACAGAAAATAAAAACATGATTTGCATATAAATTCACCAAACAGTAGTAGCCTTACAATAGAAAACCCTAAATAATAAATCATATGGAACTTCGAAACGGGTTAATACAATATATATGCTTACTTTCTGCAGCTTCAGCTAGGAATGAAGACTCATACCAACTTAAAATATATATCAAACACATTTCCGAAATTATATAGATAATTTACAATATTTCAAATGCTTCATTATAATCATGTGATTTCCCATGTTCAATTAACAAAAAAAAGGAAATGATGTAGCACACTAACATCTCTGATCCTATAATTAGTAACATTCCACATAAATGAACAAACGAAATACATAAGCTTCCAATTTGCCCTCCCAAGTACAGGATAACAAATTAAAGTTTATAACCTGATATTTCCAATCACAATATGATATTTGAGCTATGGCAAACGATATGCATTACTCTACTAAACACCAAAAACTATATGTTAAGGAAGATAACTAAATGAAAATGCATTAACATTTCCTAATATATAAAAGATTTCAAAATTCATCATAATTGGCTAAAAAGACGATGAACTTTATCTATACACCCCCAAATCAACCATACTTTTATATTTACACTATAAACCTAGATATTTCTAATTTACGGAGGAATAAATAAACCATTACCAGCTTGAGAGGGAGGCACCGGCTCGGCATCTTTTTCGCCGCCGCCGGAGCAGCGGCCAGCCTTCTTCCCTCCGGTGAGCGGCAGGCCGCTCGAGACCTTCTTGCTGCTGAGCAGCAGCAATCAACTGAGAAGGATCATCGTTGTCGTCGTCTCCAAGGAGATCGAATGGATTCACAGTCGTCATCTCTGAAGAGAGAGGAACCGGAGCTGGGACTGGATCGAGAAGCTGTTACAAACCCTAGCAGCTTACGTAATCGCTCGATGAATCGAACGCCATTAGAAACCCTAACCCTAGTTTTGCAAAGAGAAGAAGATTGAAGAGAGACAGGGAGAAAATGGAACCCTAGCCGCCGAGCTTACACTGATAAGAGTCCAATATAAGGAGACCTAATCCATTCGCAGTTTCTTTGGGGATTAATTGTTGATGGCTGTCTTAATGTGAAATGACGATATTGGTCCGCGTTTGGGGCGTTATTACAGGGAAATGGTTGAGAGGAAGGGAGGACCGAGGGTAGTTTGGTCATAATATTGAGCTGTTGGATGTAGCGGAATCTGACCGTCCAGTTCATTTCTCACAGTTGGAGATTTGCCGGCGTGTCCGATGGTTATAGTAATAAGTGTGTCTTTGTAAAAGCAGCATGCTCTTAGGGGGGGTTAGTCACCTAGAACTTAAAATTAGAACTGGGATAATCTGTGGGATAAAATTTTAAGGTGTTAGTCACATAGAACTAAACCTAGAATAAAATTTTAAGGTGTTAGTCACATAGAACTAAAACTAGAATAAAATTTTACAGTGTTAGTCAAGCAGAACTTTAAAAAAACTAGAATTGGGATAATTGTACAAAATTATCCCACTTTTTTTATTTTTCTATACAAAAATAAGAGTTCTAGTCTCTCAAATTATTCCAAGTTTTAGCTTGGAACTATGTGGTAAAAAACTAGAACTCGTATTTATTTTGTTATTTTTTATTTTTTTTCTTTACTTATTTCCTATTATGGTTATCACCATCATTAGACCATCATCATAATAATAATTGTCAATATCTTATAGTCTAACCAAAAGTTATTTAATAGTAACGAACATTCTTGTAAGCAATTATCAATTAATAATAGTAAGTTTAAAATACATAAATAGTATTTATATCTTCAAAATGCATAAATATATACTTCATGATTATAAAAATTTATCCCACGTTATTTTATCAAAATATCCTGCTTCACAAAATTGTTCCTAGTTATCCCACTAAAATATCCTACTAGCGAAATATTATTCCACTTTAACAATTATCCCATTTTGCATGAAAATGTCCCAATTGACTAACACCCCCTTAGAAAGAAGGAAAAAATGTGTCTAAGGCCCAAAAAAAAGAAAGTAATCGTGACTAGCCCCTGTATTACTTTTTGTGTGAGGAAGCCCCCAATACATAGAATAATTATGTTTAATCTCCTATTTATCTTTCCAACTCAACACAGAGAGAAACATTTATCAAAACCCTAAACTGTCCTTAACTCACCCCCCAAAAGAGTAAAGACTCTGAAGAGAAGCAGAGAAAGAGAGAAAGGAAGAGAGAAAGCATGAGCAAAGAAACTGAATCCAACTCGTAACAGATCGGCCAGCACAGCCGACACGAGCTCCCAACCACCGGCACGATCTGATTTCGGCGCGGTAATGCGCATCATCGTCCCTCTCCAAGGCGTCGTCCAAGGTCGAGGCGGCCTCATCCTCGGCACCTTGATCCCCTGCGCCCTCTTCTACTTCTTCCAACTCTACTTCAAAACTCGACGCTCATCCTCCAACTCCGGCGATCTCTC